CCCCCCCACCCCGGCCCTTCGCCCGCTCCCTCCAGGAGCCCCCGGATGCCTCCTGCTCCGAGGGGCCCGGCGAGGAGAGGGCGCATCCCCACGGGCGACTTTTCCCATCCCCATCCGACCCTCTTAAGGAAAACGCAGGGAGTCCCCCGTCCCGCGCCCATCCCTGGGTGGCAGCTCTGATCATTCGGTTCCCTGGGGACAGGATTTCCCCGGTTTCAATGGGAAGTCCCCGTCTAGGACTGCAGTTGGCTCTACTGTGAGGTTTGGGAAAAGTCCTTCCCAGCTTCATTCATTCTGGGGCAGGAAAACTGGGTTTCTATAAGGAGAAACTGCTGGGGTTTGGGCAAACTTTGTCTCCTTTGCCTTTCTCCCCTGACAGTCCAGAATATTTTAAACAAAAGACAAGTTGCTAAACTACCTAGTTGCTAAATCTCTGCTAAACTACCGATTATTCCTTGAAGATGTCTCTAGCCTTTTCCCCGGCTGTGACAGAGGAAACAGCCACAGGGCCACATCCATGCTTCTGCATGGAGGATGCTTTCCAAGGCGTGACAGCTTCGGTTTCTCCCGCCCGGAGCTGCAGGCACCAGTCTCCCACTTCAAAAATGCCAAGAAGCTGGTCTTGTGTGCAGGGTGATCAAGTGAGAAAAGCTGGGTGGACAGGAACAGAAAGAACCGTTTCCCTGGAAATTCTCAACAAAACTACTCCCAGAAGTTGCAAAGCGTAGAGGAAATGCAAACATCCCTTGATATTGCTGGAAAGTAAATTTAGATTTCACAAGGCAGCATTTTCCATGTTATGTTCTGAGTTTTTAATTGTTATGGATTGTTGATCTGTTTTAAGCTGCAAAGAGTTGTGTTTTGGTTAATACAAGCTTGGAAAATCATTCCTTCCCTCCTCCTTGCATCTCATAGGAAATTGGGGCAAAGTTATTGAAAGTAGAATTCAAGCAATCAAGATTTAACTTCTCCTAGGCTAAACTGTTCATTTATTTCTTCTCTTCCAGACACTCAGACTGGTTTGTGAGCACATTTGCTGAGCTGGGGACCCCACCGCTGGACTTCAGTTTGACTTTGTAGCACTGGGAATCAATTAAAGCTCCTGCTTGCCAGGTAATCATAACAGGAATGATGCCTGAAGGCTGCCCGCCTCCAGGCCCAGCTTTCCAGGGAAATAGCCTAAAACAGTTACAGGAAAATAGCCCAAACCAAGATTTTTAAGTACAGATGATAGCTTTGTTAGTCCAGAGCAGGCAGTCAAAATAAGGTCCAGTCCAGGTCAGCTGTGAAAAACCCAGTCTCTGTGAAACTGTTTGCTGTAACCGTCTGGGTTACTGGACAGAGAATTATTCTGAAACCAAATATTGCTTTATGCATTGAAAAGTGACTTCAGCTGCCCAGGTAAACTGTTCTATGATACTTACTGTAACCTCCACCCACTTCTAGGGATTTGGGATCTGCTTTTTTGTGGCTGAATTGCTCTGGGTTGGATCTTACCTAAAAATGATTAATGCTGTTTTCAGAAAATGAGAATAAAATCAACTCCTTCATGCAGGGACAGAATGAAATTGTGTCTGGTCATGAGTCATATTAGCTCTGGCATTCCCTGACTTTAGAAGATTCCCAGGGTAGTTACACGTAGAGATGCTATTAAATAAGCAAAATAAAAGGACTAAGCATGTAATCAGTTTTGGTAGAAAAGATCCAACCCAGGAATGGGGGAAGCTCTGTAATTGCTTGAACTAAAGTGTTGGTGGGAGTTCAGAGCTGTCTATGGGAATTACACACTTCATCTCATGTAACTCAGTTTCCTTTAGCCTTGAGATGTGCTCCTGATGTTTGTGTGTTCCTTAGACCCATATCCCAGCTCTGGGGGCTGTTTGTGGCCCCTCTGGAACAGTCCTCCCTCCCCAGAAGGTACTTAGCAGCTCCTGCAGCTCTTTGAGGAAAGGGAGTGGAAATGGGGGTGGTGGGCTTTGTTCTGCTTGGCAGTGGTGGTCCTGGCTGGGGGTAATTTTGCTATTGTGGAATCCATGTTCTCAGTGGTTCCTTGTCATTTTGGAGGAAGGCTGGATCTGCCGACGGCTGCCAGCTCGTGGACTTCCTCAAAGGACATGCCACAAAGCAGAAAGCCCTGGCTGCATCTGCGGGAGGGAAAGGCCCAGCTCTGTCTGGGGAGGAGCTGCTCAACAGGTCTCAGTCCTTGGGCAGCTGGTGGCTCCTGGGCTGCCACGCTCTTTCCAGGCTGGTGGACCCCTGCCCCAGACACCTCCTCTCCTCCTCCGAGGGCTTTTGGGTGGTGTGTGTCTCTGCCAGGGAGCATTCCACCCTGCCTGTCTCCTTGCAGCATCACATGCTGTGTCCCTCTGGGGAGTTTTGAGGTGGACTTCCCACTGCTGGTTATTCCAGAGCTGAGCTGGGGCTGGCCACTATAGGCTTGAGACAGCCGAGCAGGGCAGCACAGGGTCCCCACCGTGACCACCTCTCTCCCGCAGGTTCCTGGAGGTGCAGGATGACTCTCTTTGACGGCGTCTACCCCTTCTACCTGCAGCAGAGGAAGGCATCTGTGTTTGACGTCAGCACCATCATAGTGATCGTGGTCTTCCTAACGTTCACTTGCAGCTTCCTGCTCATCATCCCGGGCATCCGCGGACGGGCGGTGCGTGACCCCTCTCTCTGGGGATAAGCTTTTACCCCCCACATTTTGGATGCTGGGACAGTCCCGGCTGGTTTGGGGTGAGGCAAGAGGACAGCTGAGGCTGTTTCACCCTGCCTGATGTCCCACCTCTCTCCTCGCAGAGGCTGTACTGGACTCTCCGGGTTCTCCTCAGCCTTTTTGTGGGAGTGGTGATCGTCGGTAAGTGCTGCGCAGCCCTCGGAGCGTGGGTCTGCGGGCAGGATTAAACCCTGGGGCAGGATCTGCGTCTGGGAAATGAGAGCTGGGGGTCACAGCCATCGCCTGGCTGAGACTGGTTGCAAGGTCTACCCTACCCCTACTCTGCAAAGCAGTCACACACCTTCCCAAAAGGGCTTCCTCATCCCCGGCACAGGGGCTGAGAGCACCTGGAGGTGCCTGTGATCACTTCTGAATGGAGAGGGGGGCTTTGCTGGCTGTAACTGCACCAGGGAAGTCAAACCACCCCAGCTCTGATGGGCTGCACAGCCCCATGTTCTTCTGGCTGTGCCAGCCCTCCTGATCTGCCCGCTGCGGAGGGAGCACGGCTGAGCAGCTCAGACTGCAGCCAGGCACATTTGGGGGATGAGAGGAGCCCTGCAGTGACGTGGAGAGAGCAAGATGAAATAAAACACAGGCAGGGCGGGGGGTG